GGGAGGGACGCGGACGGGGGACCGGGAGGGATGCGCGGGACCTGCCCAGGTAACCACGTGGTTGGGGCCGGGGCTCGCGGGAAAACCTGCCTTGGACGCAAACGCGTGCGCGATGCCAACCCGCTCCGCGACGGAGCGAGGCTGGGGAACTCGAGTCCTGTGCGTGCCGAGGTCCCGCGGGCTGCAGGGCTCCCTGATTCCCAGGGTGCTGGAAGCACCCAGGAGGCCGGGAATTTTCACTTCCAATCATAAGCAAACGTTTTGTCATCGCGCTTGGTCTCTGAGTGTCCCGGAGAGCAGACATTTCTACCCTAATCAATGTTTAGGTACTAGGTGATTAATGAGTATGAAGAAATAAACATTCCGTTTATGATCTTTTGTGAGTTGGTTAGTGTGCATTAATATTCCAGTGCTTAACTGTAAGCCTTGTCCAAAATGCATAAAACCTAGTTAATTGCCAGGCGCAGTGGCAAACACCTGTCATCCCAGCACATTGGGAGACCCGAGGCGGGAGGATTGCATGAGCCCAGGGGTTCGAGACTAGCCTGGGCAACTTGGCGAGACCTTGTCTCTACAATAAATCCAAAAAATAGTTGGGTGTGGTGGCTCAAGCCTGTAATCCCAGCACTTTGGGAGGTGGAGGTGAGAGGATTGCCTGAGCCCAAGAGTTCAAGACCAGCCTGAGCAACATGGTGAGACCGTGTCTCTACAATAAATCAAAAACTTAGCCAGGCGTAGTGGCACATCCCTGTGGTTCCAGTTACTTGGAAGGCTGAGGCAGAAGGATCACTTGAGCCCAGCAGGTGAGGTTGCGGTGGCCATGAGTGTGCCTGGGTGACAGTGAAACTCCGACTCAGAACAACAACAAAAAACCTAGTTCTTGAACCTATAATATTCACAGTCAGATCGGGGATCTAGGTGTAAAAGAGGTCAATCCAAGATGTGAATCTTGATGTAGCAATTAGCTCTATCCTTAGCTGTGACCAAGTTGTGGGGAGCTCTGCCCAATTTTGGTACCTCTGTAGGTTAAAACAGAATGATGAACTTCTGTTATCAAAGGGACAGATACAGCTTTGTTGGGCCTGAAGCTTGAGAACAGGAGTGCAAAAAATATTTTACTTTTGCAACCTTACAATAATTTTCAACCATATAAACATTTTAAGGCCCCTAAAAGCCAGAACCTCTAAAGCTTGAAAGCCCATTTATCTCTCTACAGGGAACCATAGGATAAAGACAGAAAATACTGGATTTAGTGAACAGGTGATGCTTTAGAAAACAATTCCAGAAAGAAATAAGGATGAAAAACAAGTGTAAAGGAGCCAGAGATTCTCAAAAATTATACATCCTGGGTAAAGCCATCTACAGGATTGTTCAAGAGGAGGTAATATTACGTAGAAACAGGATTGTAGTACTTTTCTTTTTAAACAGGGAAATATCTATGGGGAAAAGAGTGGCAAGAAGAAACTTAAAAAGGTAAAGAAGACCAGGCATGGTGGCTCAGCCTGTAATTCCAGCACTTTGGGAGACCAAGGCAAGAGGACTGCCTGAGCCTGGGGGTTCGAGAACCACAAAAACTAGCTGGGCGTGGTGGTGTGCATCTGTGGTTCCAGCTACTTGGAAGGCTGAGGTGGAAGGATGGCATGAGCCCAGTAGGTCAAGGCTGTGGTGGCTGTGAGCATGCCACCACACTCCAGCCTGGGCAACAGAGTAAGACTTCAACTCAAAAAATTTTTTTAAAAGGCAAGAAAAGGAATAAAATAATTAATAAAAAACCAAGAATCAGTAAAGAGAAGGTAATAAAGTAAAAGGGCTAAGACTTGAAGAGGTTTAGAGCAAACAAACAAACAACAAAAAAACACACACAAAAAAGGAGGCACACACACTTGCTAGCCCAGATCTCTGTAAAAGTAGGGTTCAGGGTCTCACTCTTGTTGCGTAGGCTGGAGTGCAGTGGCATGATCACAACTCACCACAGCCTCGACCTGCTGGACTCAGGCAATCCTTCTACCTCAGCCTCCCAAGTGGCTGGGACTACAGGCATGTACCACCATGCCTGGCTAATTTTTTGATATTTTGTAGAGACGAGATTGTGCTATGTTGCCCAGTTAAAAGAACTTAATTTCTGCATTAAAAGGTTGAGGTTGAGGCACAAGGATCTGAGAGCAAAAATTCCTGGAAATAGTTATGACAAGGAGTAATTTGAATGTGAAAAGAACACAAAATAGTAAAATGTGCTCACTTGAGCCTGGATTCCATGAATTTAGTGAGCCCACTGACTCTGTTTCATAGGAGTTGGCAATCCTATCGGGAAAGAATGGAGAAGACAGATGGCCTGTAAGCTACCTGTTGGAGAATTGATGATGCAAGGATATTAAGCCAAGGAGTGAAGGAATTGAGGATGCTGGAGAAAGCACCGTTGAAACGGCTTGCCATGAGTAAAAAATATAAATCACAACAGCAGTTAGCTAATAAACTGAAAACAGAAAGGCATTGGGAGACTGGGGGTCATCATAGGCATGAAGAATAAGTGTAGTAGGAGTGAAATAGGAGGGGAAAAGTTATCAGGGAAAGCGTTTGTGAATTCAAGACCTTGGAAATGGCACAGGGTGATTGGGTCTGGAGGATGGGATGCTTGGCTGTTGCTCAAGTTGCTGAGGTTGAATGGAAAATACCACTGAGTCACAAATAAACTTGAGGTAACAGCATGGAAAGTCACTGATATGAATTACCCACATAGGACTACAATGGAATGGGCTGAGAGAGACATTAATCCCTGAAGGAAGCAAAGATGTTCTGGAAATCTAAAGAAAACAGTATGGGAATGCATGAGATGGACACAAGAGGACAGCTTGAGAGATGGCAATGACAATGATCAAAGGAGAAAATAGACTAAGGACCATGTCACCCAGCAATTCCACTCTTAGGTTTATACCCGAGAAGTAAAAACATTTAACAAATGCTTACAGCATTATTCATAATAGTCAAAAGGTAGGAACAACCCAAATGTCCATCAGCTGAGGAATAAATAAAATGTGGTATATTCATTTAATGGAATATTACTTGACCACAAAAAGGAAGTACAGATAACAAGCTACATCATGGATGAATCCTGAAAACACCATGGTAAATGAAATAAGCCAGAAATCAAAAGGCACGATGAATACGTTTCACCATTCTGTTAAGCAAGTGAACTGACTTGTTTTGAAGTTTTGAGGTTCTCTGCTGGGAAGACACTTGCCAAACCTAGCTTACATAATGACCTGATTACTCCATTAAAGTGATTATGAAGTCAACTAGATTTGAAAACCTAAAGTACAATATACCATTTATTTTACCAGGTTCAACATATGCCACACCTTGATCATGTCACTAACACATCTAAACTATAATGGTGTGAACATAGGGATCCGTTCCTCAAATATTAAAGGGTACATTCTGCTTATACTGGTAGCATGCCTCTTGTAACTTTCCCTTACCTTTCATTTCCCTCTAGCCTGTGCCTCATTCCTCTGTCCATCTTCGTTGTAAAGCTATAGAAAAAGTGTTAGTTCCATTTCTGACCTCGTCCTCTCTTATTACTCCACTGAAATTGTTCTTACCAAGTAAGTCACTATGACCTGTATCCTGCCAGAGTCATCTGTGGTGATTACTAGCTACTCAAGAGCTGGTTCCTGTTTTCTGTATGTATGGCTTATTGTTTTTCACCCTCCATTGAGTTAGAGATGGCCAATGGGATATGAGATGTGTACATTCCCATTCCCGGTCCATAGAAACCTCCCACTTCAGACCCTCGTGTTTTTTCCCTTGTTGCTGGCTCTCATGGAAGTGACTCCAGTGTGACTTGAAGCCAGCTACTGAAGCTGGTAGAGTCTTCATTCCTGCAGCCCTGAGTGACGAAGTGGGAGGAGGGCCAAACTACTGACCTCTTCACCACCATGCTTCTAATACTTTTTACATGAAGAAAACCCCAATTATTGAATCTGAGTCATTAGACATTCTGGGGTCTTTTTATTCTAGCAGCCTGCCCTAATTCACTGTTTTATTTAATTAACCTCTAAGCAGCATTTGACACAACTGCCTATTCTGAGGAACTCTTGAACTTAGTTTTCAGTGACACCGGAGCTTGTCATACTGCCTCCCCGTTTTCTCTGTATTCTCCTCTCCTGTGCCATATTCCTAAATGTTGGCGGTATCCAAGGGCTTAGTCTTCAGTCTCTTCTCTTTTGTACGATTGTTGTTGTTTGAGTCGGAGTCTCGCTCTGTCACCCGGCTGGAGTGCAGTGGCACACTCATGACCACCATAGCCTCAACTTGCTGGGCTCAGATGATCCTTCCACCTCAGTCTTCAAGGTAGCTGGAACCACAGGCTGTGCAAATCACCATACCCAGCTTTTTTTATTTATTGTAGAGATGAAGTCTCACCAAGTTTCCCAAGCTAGACTTGAACCCCTGGGCTCAGGTAATCATCTCACCTCCGCCTCCCTCTGCTGGGATTACAAGTGTGAGTGGCTGCATGCGGTTGTACAGTGTCC